CAAGCTGCTAGTCAGCTAATATCTGCTCTTGGTCATCTCCTCCTCCTGAGGCCGGGCCTCAGGCTACTCACAGTTCTGTGACATTCTTGGGGATGCCCTTGGGCAGGGCCTGGAGGTGCTTGTTACTGCATCGGACCACGGTGTCCAGGCAGGCGCATTCCTGGGGGCACTGCGGGCGGGGCAGGCAGCCCCCCTCCTCCTGGCCTGGGGAGGAAGGTACGAAGCCATGTCAGTGAGGGGACAGGCCTTCTTAGGGCCTCCTGCGGCCAGGGCCCTTGCAGGGCTCCTCAGTAAGTCTCCTCTTGGCTGCATCCCTCCGCCACCAGGGACAAAGCCCCTTGGGCCTGTTTTGAGGTTAATATAGGTCTTAGGTCAATCTCTTCTGCCTCAGACCCAGTGGAGGAGGATGGCAACCACACCATTTCTTGAGTACCTACTATGTGCTGGACACTGTATGGAACACAGTCTCCTTAACAGTGCAGTAAGGGGTACCACTGTCACCTCTAGAATGCAAGCGCCATGAGGACAGAGACCTGTGTCTCCTCTTTGTTCACTGAAGGAGCCCAGAGAAGGGCCTGACACACAGTGGCCCTCAAAAGAGATCAGTTGAATGAATGAATTGCTATTTTACTGGAGATCTGGAGAGGTTAATTAAATAACTTGCTCAGGTTAGAAGACTGGTCAGAGGCAATGTGGGATCTGTACCCATTGCATAGTCCAGACAGGGCAAACCCTAAGTCTGCAGCACTTAGAAACAGCCAGAAGGCAAGTTTCTGGGTTAAATGTACTCAGATAAAGAAAATACACTAAAATGTTAACTGTGATTTTCTCTGAGTGTGTGTGGGGGGTGGGGGGGGAAGAATGGATAATGTTTATTTCCTTCCTTTATATTTTCCCATTTTTTTAAACAATCCTATTATTGCTCATTTTATTTTATTTTATTTTATTTTATTTTATTTGGGAACAGCCATGGTCATTGGTTACACATTGCTTTCAGGCTACAATGGCATAGTTGACTCTTTTAGGGAGGGCACAGCTCACAGTGGCCCATGCAGGGATCGAACCGGCAGCCCTGGTGTTGTCAGCACCACGCTCTAACCGACTGAGCTAACCGGTCACCCTTATTGCTCTCACAATCACACAAAGACACCACCAGGTGGGGCTCCCTGTTTCTTGCCCTTCCCCATCAACAGAGCCTCCCTCCCAACAGCCCCTCCTCTCAGGGGCATGTCACGGGGCAATGCCCACCCACTCCCCATGCCCCTGCCTGGCCCAGCTTGCCCTCTCTCCTGCCGCCCAGGGGGCCCACGAGTTACCTTCCTCACACCTGAAGTCAGGGAAGGCCACGTCCTGCAGGGGAATCTGTCGCAAGAAGTCTGGGTTCTGGCATCGAGGGTTCCCCGTGACAATCTTCCTCTTCCGCAGCCAGTCGCCCAGCCAGGCCAGCTGGCAGTTGCAGTTGAAAGGGTTAGCCAGGAGGTTTCTGAAAGAGGCAGGTCGTGTGACCACAAAGACACCCTGCCAGTTTCAACTGTCCCAGCAAAGCCCTCTCCCGCCCGCCATGTACTGTCCACACAGCCACCTCCATAACTCTCAGATGACCAGCCAACCATTACCAAGAGGCGCTGTTTCAACATGGCAGGACCCAAATTTCAACAAACCATGGGGACCCAAACATCCCCTGAGTTTGTTTTTTAAAGTAACCACCAGGAAGACCATACCCTGGGGATGGCAGGTGGATGGGGCTCCTGAAGTGCAGATGGCTGACACCAGAGCCCCAGGCCCGCCTGCCCTCCGAGGGCCAGACTTACAGTGTGGAGAGGGCCTGCAGGGTGTCAAAGGCCCCGGGAGAGATGGTGGCGATCTGGTTGTCATAAAGCGAGAGGAGGCGGACGTTGCGCAGGCCCGTGAAGCTGTTGTTGTGGATGCAGCTGATGTGGTTGTTCCTCAGCATCCTGGGAGGGCGGGTGGAGAGGAGGGGAGGGGAGAGACCACGCTGTGCCTGTCAGCCACCTGCCTGCACTGTGCTTTGGCCACCACCACCGGCCAGTTCACAGACCTCTCCCAGGGGCACTGAGCCACACGAAGGGGATCCCAGCACCAGAACCCTTCACACAGTAGCACTGGCCACAGGTCAAGTACTCTATAGCCACATGTGTTGGACAGTGCAGACATGGGGCATTTCCATCACCTCAGGAAGTTCAACAGCACAACACTATTAGACACGCTAAAACTCTACACAACCATCTGAAGAGCTAGTGCTGCCTGGGCAGAGAGTGGCTCACTGCAGCATACATGAAGGCTGGATGACCTCAGGATCCTACTGGGTCCTGATGTCTGGTTCGCTCTGGCTGCGTTCTGCATCATGGGATCCCAGAATTCCAGAAATGGTGCTCCCCCATCTTCACCCACTTGAAGCACCTCTACGATGTCCCCGTCATGGGGCCAACAACTCTTCCTGCCACAGTGGTGCCGGCCCCTGCTGAGCTGAGCACACGTGCTGTGCTCTCGCAGCCTGACTACAGGGCAATGAGAGCGGACTTCCAGAAGGGGCCACCTCCCTCCATCCCTTCACCAGGCACCAACTCCACGATCCCAGGGAGCAAGAAAGCAGGCTGCACCACAGTTACCAACATCTGATTACTTGGCCCACTGCAGTCAGGGTCCTCAGCTCTCCCCCGCTCCTGCAAGCTGGGGCCAGGGAGAGGGGCCCTCCTGCCCACTCTTCCGTTCCCTTTAATGCAGACACCCACACTCTGGCTTTTGCCTGTTGCAGTCTAGCTGCCCATCCTGCTCCCCGCCCCGCACACTCACAGGGTCCTCAAGCCGTCCAAGCCCCGGAACATGCCACTCCGGATGGACTCCAGCTGGTTGGCGGTGAGGTGCAGCTCACTCACAGAGGCTGCGCCCTCAAAGGCCCCGTCTTCGATTTCTGACACCTTGTTGTTGCTCAGGTTGCTGGGAGAGGAGGTGGCAGGAGGATAATAAGCTCAGGACCCCTATTCCTGCACCCAGCCCCCACGCATGCTCCCCCACACCCTGTATCTTCCTCCTTCACCCTGGGCCAGTGTCCTGACTACAACCTTCCCACCAATGGGTAACTCACATTTTCTTCAGATGGGTGAGTTTTTTAAACATCCCAGTGGCCTCCAGGATGGAAATCTCATTGTTGTTTAATCGTCTGCAAGAGGCAATGAAGGGAACGTGCACATCCATAAATGACAGACATTGATGTATCTTCCAAACTGAGATTATTTAGGACTCAAACAAAGGGGAGTCCCAGCTGAATTTATCTGGCAAGGCAAATTGATCCTATTTCAAAAGATGCCTGGGCCAAGTACTAAAGTTAGGAGCTGGAGGGGAGCTGTGAATGGGGATGTTTTTAACATAGAAAATGCCATGAAAATTTATATACATAAATGACAGATATGTGTAGATATTCATGCACATACATGTATATGTGCACAAATTTATATTTTTAGATAGAGAAAAAAATAATTAAAGGATAGTTTAAGCCCCAATTTGAGCTAATCAATTAATGTCCTCACCCCAAATGGCAAAAGCATGATTGAGAAAAGCCACCCCTGGTTCAGGCTGGTGACCTCCCCTGGGTACCAGAGATTGCTTCAAGGGCATGTAAGGCTGTGAGTCAGGAGGAGGGGGCAGGGGGCTACTTCCTACAAAGCCAGCAGATGCCATGCTGGTGTCTCCAAAGGTCCATAGAGCTCGACCAGAGGTAAACCTGGAGCACACCCAGGGAGCTTAGTGGGAGCAGGGGCAGGTGAGGGTGTGGAGGGTCTGGGGGCCTCACAGCTCAGCCGTGGACTGGGGGATGCGATCAGGGATCTTGGTGAGCTTCAGGCTGGAGCACTCCACCACGCTGGCCTCACAGCGGCACTTGTGGGGACAGACTACATCACTGTTGCATTCACTGTTCAGCTGATAATCCTCCGTGCCTGTAGTGAGAGGGCAGGGGCCAGGGGCTGAGAGGCCCAGGGCAGGCTCCAAGCAGCCTTGCCCAGCCCAACTCCCAGGCCCCTCAGCCTGCCACCCTGGCCCCCTTTCTACCCACTGCCATCGACCCACCCAGGCTCGCCTTGCATCCCCCACTCTCCTACCTGGAATGAAGTACTGCTCTTTGGCTGGAGAGAAAAGCAGAAACACCATGATGCTGGTGGGATCGCCCAGGACTTGCAGGAAAAGCCCAGCCCCCAGCCCCACTGCCCAGCTGAAGCACCCCGAGAATGAGGCTGGAGTTCCAGAAAAAGGCCCCAAAGCCCATCCATCCAGCCCCTGTGTGGAGAAGGCCTTCGACAAATCATAGATGCTCCTTGCCCAGGCCGATGTTGGCAGCAGCACCACACCCAATTAAACCTCTCAGGGAGCTCCAAAGCCATGGGAACCCTCACGTGCAATGGCACAAGATAGGGATGGGGCAGGAGACACCAGGCCCTGACCAGGATGCAGGCTCAGAAGCTGACCCACACTGCCCCTGGCCAGGTGCTGCCCAGAGCCCGGAAGAGGCAACTGTCTCACTGAGGACGGGTCCCAGGCCTCCTGAGTGTCTTAAAGGGCTGAAAGCAGTAGCATAAAAAAGAACTGGCCTGGGAGTAGAGGTCTTTACCTGGGTCCTCCCTCGGGACCTTCAGCAAGCTCCCCTTCCCCAGGCCAGTAACATGAGGGATGGGACTGAACACTATTCATATCCAAGCCTAGAATTTGGGGCCAACACCCTCCAGCATGGGTCCTGTATGGCCTTGGACACCCTCACTGGAGCCATACAGGAAACATCACAGGGTCCCCGAGCAGGCTGAAGACAAAAAGGTGGGCAGGCAGCTACCTGAACACCGGAACTTCTTGCTCTTGATCTGCCCGATGCGCTTGTTGGCGAGGCGCCGGGGGCTGGCACAGCGGGCCCCACTTGTCTCAATGGG